GAGTCTTTAAGTCTGTTATTAACAAATATAGAAGGCACGGGTGGATTGTGTGTGTAGATGGTTTTCCTCTTGTTTGCTGTGCATTCTGTCTTTATCTGGCGGCATAAGGTTTTGTAGCAGCTTTTGAAGTTAACTATATATCCAGTTTTGTTTTTATGCCAAAGATTTTTTTTTTTAATTGAAGCTCCCTTATTGTTATGGGTAATTTGTTTTTTCTGGTTTTGGGGGTTATTAGAGGTATGTATAGTTTAATGACTCTTAACTTCAAGCAAAAAAAGTGTTATAATGGTCTGGCTCAAGAAGCCTCAGTAGTGCTGCAGACTGGGGCAGGGGTGCAGCTGACAGGCTCAGGTCCGCAACTCAGGGCTGAAAAGTCAGAGCTGCAGTAGGTGAGTTTAAGGGAATGACTGTGGGATGCCATGTGCTAGGAACAGAAGACTCGCTACGCAGCAAACGTGGAAAGGCAGCAGAAGCCGAGGATCCCCTAATCCTGCAGGACGTCAGGAAGGTGGAGCTTTTGTTGAGTGGGATAAGCCGTTGGCATGGAAGCTCCACACTGCCACCCACAGCCCATCAGTGGAGCAGCTGGGAGAGAAGTTTGTAGGCCTGGAGATCAAGAGAGCAGAAGCCAAGGCAACCATGGCTAGGACAGGGGCAATGAAGTCACTGACTACCCTGTCACCTCCCCTCATGCAGTCAGTGGTGCCAGCACATTCCAGGATGATTGGATCCTCCTTGCAGGGAGCAGTGGCAGCGGATTTCACAATCCTTCCCTTTGTGGTCCCAGGGGCTCAAGTGGGGATCGAGTCCCCTCCACCTTCTCTTCTGGTGGGATAGAAAAAAGTGGTAGGTGCAAAGGAGAGCCACTAATTGGCAAGAGACAAGGAAAGCACAAGGAGCTGCCCATGTGCCTGTGACTACAAAAGTGAAAGCAGAAACCATGAATACATTAAAAGGAGATAGTGGGTTAGACCTGTTAATTCCAGCAGAATATCACAACCTAGCTGAGGTTTATAGCAAAAAGGAATCAGATGTGCTCCCACCTCACTGACTATGCAATAGAGATTATGTCAGGGGCCAAACTGCCTAAACCAAAAATATACTCAATGACAGAGGTGGGTTCCTACTGGTTTGGATGGATTCGGCTGAACCAGTAGTGATATGCCGGCCTGGGTTGCAGAACTTGTCTGGGCTGCAGCTGAGTCCACTGCCCTGACCGGCAGAGGGACCACAGGACATGGCTGGGAGCACACTAACCTTGCCCTCCCTGAGTGCCAGACTCCACTGTTGCCATCGCCCCTGCCCAGCTCGCCCTCGGCTGGCTTTCAAGCTCAGAGGCAGCAGCGGGTTCCCCCTGCCCTCTGGATCACCAGCATGAACGTGGCTCTCCAGGAACTCAGCAACAATGTGAGAACAAAGCACTTTTCGGCTCCAGTCAGCCAGAAAGAAGAAATAGCTGCCATCGCCACCATCTTCATGCATGCGTATCCCTTGGACTTACAATTCCAAGGCATGCACATGCGCAAAGATGGCAGCAGCTTTCTGCCCGTGCCCAGCACTGCCATGCTCCCGGAAGTCACCCACTTACCTAGGAGGTGCATGGGGGCTGAAAAGTGAACCAGGCAGAGTGCCACTTGCATACCACGAGACGGATGCAGGAGGCTGATCAGAGGGGAGGAAGGAAACGGTTGTTCAGACAGTTCCGCCCAGCATCCCCGCCAACCGGAGACTGGCCTGGGACTCCTTCAGAGGCAACAGACCCAACAGAGGCAAGCGTTCCTCTTGGTGGGGCAGCTGTGCTTGCCTGTTCCTGGCCCGAAGCCTCATAAACCACCCCCTGGCCCGGCCAAGTGCGGCTCACCTGAGCCGAGAGGCACCTAGCGGCGACGGCGGGTCTGCCTGGCAATGGGCAGTCAGTTGCAGCACTGCCTCCTCCAGCCCAGGTGCAGCCAGAGCCAGCCAAGTACCTTTCACACATGGGCCACTCCGGGAGCCCCAAGGCCTTGGTTCGAAGGAATATGCCTGGGCTTGAGGTGGCACTGCATCTGACTGCTCATTGCCAGGGAGATCCTCCAGAACTGCCAGGTGCTTCCCGGCACAGGTGAGCCACACTTGGCCGTGTGTGTGTGTGCGCGTGTGTGTGTTTTGCAAGGCTTTTGGGCCGAATTCCTGCCTTTTGCAGAAGTGGCATACAATAACTGTGCATAATAGCACAGGATTTATCCCTTTCAGGATTGCTGGTATGGTGGAGTTTGTGCTGATGCCAGAGATCCCTTAGAATGACCATCTTCGGTGTCATTGGCTGAGTGGATGGAAATTTTTAAAGGAAATGTAGAGTGGTAGTGTGCAGAGCATTACAGAAAGCTAGGGAAACACAAAAGAAGCAAGAAGACAAAACAAGGGCACCACAGGGGAATTCAAGGTGTGAGATAAAGTGTAAAAAATCTCAACCCAAGGAAGCCTTGTAAAAAGCTGAGTCCAAAGTATGTAGGGCCTTTCCCAATTATCCAGATCATAAATCAAGTTACTATAAAATTGCAGCTGCCAAAAAGTCTTAGGCGAATCCACCCTGTATTTCACTGCGCCCTGCTGAAAACTTTATGCAGCTAGGGATTAAGACCCGCTGTGGAAGCACCTCCTCCTATTCTGGTCAAAAGAGAGGAACACTATGAAATTAAGGAGATTCTTAACTCCTGGTACCATAGAGGGAAACTGCACTCTTTAGTATTATGGAAAGGCTACCCCTAGTTGATGCAGAATGGGTGGCAGCAACAGATGTGAATGCAGCTAGATTAGTGCATAGATTTCATGCTGAGCATCCAGGCCAGCCCAAGTGAGGGTGGCCTTAGAAGTGGACAGTAATGTCTAATGTTGTGTGCAGTGTTATTTTTTTATTTTCCAGGGCTGTCATTCTTTGGTGGTGGTGGTGGGGGGGTTGGCATATCAAACCTGACTGGACTCTATAGTTGTCTGTACCTGCTTTTTCTCTCGGCTTTGGCAAACAGTGATGGGAGGGGCAGAGGTGGGTTCCTACCAGTTTGCACCTATTCGGTAGAACCGGTTCATCAAATCTACTGAACCGGTTAGAAGAGGTTCCACCAGTGGACCCTGAAAGTAGGCCACACCTACAGAAGAGGTTCCAAAAAATTTTGAAATCCACCACTGGTCCTTGGATATGATTATTCTACACTATCATGCTCATATTTATAAA